TTATAGTATTGTAGTATTTATAGAATTGGACATTGCTGAGGAATGATGTTCGCTGCGTGGTATAGTGTTGATGACTTATGGGTGCATATGTAATGTTGGTGTTTACTTAGGACGTAGATACAATGGCGGTGGATTTGTCTCAACACATGGTCCGCGTTGACCCAGCGGGGCAGTTTCTGGATATGGCCTACGCTGCAGGCTTTACAGACCCGCAGAACTTCANCGCGTTGACCCAGCGGGGCAGTTTCTGGATATGGCCTACGCTGCAGGCTTTACAGACCCGCAGAACTTCAGGGGTCGCCTTCTACAATACTTGAGGTAACATAACGCGGTCTTATGCTATGCAGTGCTCTGTGGAGTATAGTGTTCACATAGCGACTTACCGATCTACATTTTTTTAATGGTGTAGTTGCTAAACATAAATGCGGGACGCTTTCTGGTAGTTGTACGCATGAGGTTGTGTTGTAGTGGCATCTTACATGGTGATTCCTCTCCACAGTGCTGTACCAAGCACTCACAGCAACGTACGATAAAGCTCATACGTTTGCCCGGTTATTCCGCATTTCAACGTACATCGGGTGAGTAGGTACCGAGTTTTATCCAGTGCGTCAAGTTCGCAATAATGACAACTGCTAACGGCATTAGTACACTCTACAGGGGTAGAACAAACTTCACTGTGTATCCCTTCTCAGTTGGGAGTGGGTTGTTTTGGCGCACAGTGAATGCCACCTTTCATTGCTGGTATTGGTAGCGGTTTCTCACTATTATTTGTTCGCACTGAATTCTGCCGTTTGCTCATTTCCGGTCGTTGGTTTTACTTCACTTGCCTAAGGCTACTTCACCTGTATTGCATTGCTGCAATTTTATTCTGTTGTATGTTCTGTTGTTGCCGTTTGTTTTGTAATTTTATCTTGGTGGTAAGTTTTTGTGTTGTTGTGTGCTGCTTTCGTGTTCAGTGAATATAAGATGGCGTCGCTGAAGGCCCATTTGAGCGACGAGTCGAGGGCTGCCTCGTCTTGTTCGCTTGATCAGCTCCACCAGTCGCCACCACGAAGTGGTGAAACTGGCGACCGCAAGCGGTCCGCCGGGGG